AAATTGATCTGATTAATCAATTTTTGTTTAATTTTTCTATATTTATAAATAAATTTTTTTTTATGAAATAAGTAATTGATTTACGATAAATTTAATTTTATGTTTGATAAAAAAAATATTGTTATTTATTTCTAAATTTTTTGTTTTTTTTTTCAATTTTTTCAAATATATTTATTTAATTATATAAAAATCATGGAAAAATAATAAAAAAATAAAAAAAAAATTTTTTTTTATTTGTCTTTTTTACAAAAGCAATTTTGGTGTAACGGCAGAGTTCGTCATTTTGTATTAAATGTTAATGTACAATCCATTTTGGGGAGTGCCCCAATTGATATATTATATTATTTGGGGGGGAGGGAGTGAGCATAAAGTGAGATTATTATTATGTAAAAAGTGATAATTAAAAAATCAGTTGTCTCATAACGTGGGAGAAGGGGGTAACGTTTTTTTATTTGAGGCTTATGACGTCATTTGGGAACTCCCTAATTGGAAAAAAATCCTTTATTCCATAAGTTCCCTCTCTTATAGAAAACAAAAAAAAAATTTATTATGCTCAAGTATTTATTCCTTTAAGAAAAAAAAATTCAGATTATTACAATAACATCAATATAATAAATAATAAAGCAACTAATAATAATATTTTAAAAACAACGGTAATTTTTACATTATATAATATACACACACATAAGTACCAATATTTTTTTTAAATATAGTTTTTTTTGCAAAGTATTATTTTATTTTTTTATTTCTTATGTTAAGCTCAGTAAAATCATTTCTTTGGAAGAGCGATATGAATTACGATGAAAGTGATGACATAATGTCTAGTTTTCAACAACAACAACAACAGCAACAACAGCAACAACAACAAAGAGGACAAGATTATAATGCAACGATTGCTTTGGTCAACGAAAGAACAGGAGGAACTACACAAAATTCTGTTGTACTTTCAGGGTCACCTGACTCTAATCAAAACAATTCTTCTACTGGTTATAACGTTGGTACAAATAGTTTTAATACTACACCAACTGGACCTTTCATACCAATACCACCACGCCAACAACAACAACAACAGTTAGCACCAGCTCAACAAAGTAATTCACAGCATTATTCTACACAACAATCTATTCCTTCAGAAAACATTCCTTCTACTAATACAACTTCAATTACTTCCAACACGATTATCAATAATAATATCAATAACAGCATTAATAATATTGTTAATAAATCAACCTCGCAACCAATGGCTACAACCACCAATTACGCGACTACAAAAACTTCCACCAGACAAATTTTACCACTTGCTTATTCTCAACCACGCCCAAATATTTATGCAACTCCTAACCATAACGTTAATACATCGTATACCTCACGTAGTTCAACGCGACATGGTAAAATTTAATTTTTAATTTATTTTCAAAAAATTAAAAATATTTAAACATTAAAAAATTAAAATTTTAAAAAATTTTTTCACCAAATGATTTAAAAAAAATTTAACATCAATACAATTTATTGCTATAGGTTATGATCCTAAGATTGTTGCTTCTACAGCTAATCCATATTATTCTAACCAACAAAATATTCCATATCAAAATAGCACAAATGCTCACTATACAACTAATAGTGCAACTGCACCATTATCAACACAATTAACTACTTTAGCTGCGCCACAGTTCAGAAAATCTAAAAATGCTTATTGTTCAACATATTTTAGTCGTTTAAAAGAAGGTGATACTGCTTTGTTGGTTCCGATACAAACAAGAGGTGGTAAAAAACGACAAAGAGGTGTGAATGGTGTTGGTGCAGGAGGTACGGGTATTGGTGGTACTGGAGGTGGATTGTCATCATCATTAGGTGCAAATTCTATGGTCGACGATTCTGATGATGTAAATGATTATTTTGATGATGATTCTGCTAGAAATTCACCATCCGGTGAAAAACGTTTAGCTGTTGGCAATGGTTCAAATGGTAATGGCGATGTTCCTGTCTCTAAAAGAATTAGGAGCAGAACTAAACATATTTACAAGTAAGATATAATAATAATTTTCTATAAAAGAATTATTATTTGGATGATTGTTATTGTTCTTATTATTAATTGTTTGTTATTATATATTGTTATCAAGTTCACAAAAAGAAGTAGAACGTAACGCTGATCAAAGAGATGTTTTGATACCTATAAGATTAGATGTTGATCTTGATAATTATAGATTGCGTGATTCTTTTACTTGGAATCTTAATGGTATTTTATATTTGTTTAGTAATTTATTTATCTTTTGAAATCATAAAATCTCCACTAATTAATTATTTTTAGAAA